TATATATATATATATAATTGTGGATCGTTTTATTTTACTTATTTTTCTGCTTGTGAATATAGCTGGATTTGGCTGATTTCTTCTTCAGTCAAGCTGAATCTTTCACTCGCTATTCCCCCGAATTCCCTTCTGGCCAACATATCAAAGACCCGATTTCAGTGCAGCCCAATTCGGAGCTAAGTACTCTCTTACAGCTTACGTCAACGGAGCTAGAAGGTCTATGGCTCTCCACATTTCATAAGCTTGCCGACCTCTGTTTGGATCGACGCCCTGCTGTCAGAAAGTCGGCTGGCCAAACTTTGTTTAATGCCGTTGAGTGCCACAGTTCCAAGTTTACTCAAAATACCTGGCAACAGCTACTGGTCACGGTGATTGTCTTATTATCTTTTTTTGTCATTTGAACGAACCAAATCTTCAACCTCCCTATCATTGAGAGGCGCCATCTTTTGCTCAGAATTGCAACATCAGTGGCAAATGAAAACAATCGCCTTTAGCAATTTTCCGTTTAACTGTTGTGGCATCATTCCTCGCCTCCATTTTTTGTCATACTTTCTAGTGCTACATCTCTTTCTCTCAACCTCATTCCATATGGTCTACTTAACTCTTCACATCATTCTGCTTAATCGTTTAGTCGCTTAAGTGGATTTATTGATGCATAATCAGATTTATTACCGGTTTCAGGTGTAGTTTACAGATATTCTTGGCAATAGCTTCTAACTTTAATTTGGCCTCCTTCCATTCATCTTTTCAGTCCCCTGCTGCACATGAAAATCTCTGTCTGGCTGCCCATGAACCTGCAGATACGAGGGTATATGGCAAAGGTGATTGCACCAAAGTAGGAGAGATACTGAGAATTTTTAGCAGAAAGTTGTTCAAGGGATTAGCTTCACCTCTTTCTGATGAGTTTTAGTTTGGTGCCGAGAATAGCAAGTCATGTTGACAATATAAAAGTTGTATTCTCCCTATTTCGTTTAAGGACTGATAATTGAATTTTCGCATAATAGGCCTGATGTTTCTATTGAATCTCCAATGCGCCTGTTTACCATAGGGTATTCTCATCCAGGCTCGAATGGATTGCAGTTTCAATCGCGCCTAGATCTCGTCAGTACCTCCAGTAGGACCCGAACCCTGGTAGTGCAGCGTATAGTCTCGACGTGCCAAATATTACCTTTCGGGGAGTAAGGTTGTGTGATATTCAATGGAAAGATGAGCCTCAATGACAGCATTTTTGGAAATTTGAAATACTACTACGTAATAGGCTGAATATGCCCCTTATATCAGAGATACTGGTTGTCCCGATAGCCTGATTATGAACTGAAAATAAGTAATGATTTCGATTGTTATAACAAATACAACCTTTTTTCTTTGACAATCCCGCCATTGAAATTTGATATGGGGAAGACCTTGGTGTCCTTGAAATTCAATTCCGTCATGTGATCCAAACAAACTCGTGACAATGTGATGTACGGGTTGTTGTATCGAGATTATATGTTGCACGAATTAGGTTAGAGTCCCGCTGGTTTGATGGTGAGATATAAATGAGGCCGAAACTACAGTCCAGGTCGGATGTGACTACCTTTTGGAAGGCAAAATTATGTGAAATACAATGGAGACATGGGACCTACTCATATTATTTTGGGAAATTCCAGCTACCAGTTCTTCATCACCTTAAACGAGATAGGATGAACACAGTTCTTATTCAAAATATACTGGCATTCTCTAAAACCTTCTTATAGACTTACTGACAGTGCCAGTGAAAGTTGTAGGAATATACTGTCTATGGTCCGACGCTGTAAATTATCATGAATACTTTTGCAAGGGACTATGAACAAGGAGTGCTTATTTAGGTTTATGTAATGGCAGGACCGAGTTTCTAAAACTGAGTCAAACCACTCCATTAATACTTTTCTTTATTTCTTTGGACCTATTTCTACGTTATTAACAATTTTACTCAATTTGAGTAGTTTAGGGAATGATTTGATATCCTTTAAAATTACTTAACCAACTACTTGAAATTTCACAATTGGCATTTGGAGTCAAGGATGATTCTCTTCTAACCAAATTATTTTCTTCCCATCTTTGATGTTATGCGACCTTCAGCCTAAATCTTTTTTCATTTTTTTATTTTGTAACAATCTGTTAATTTTTGTTAAACGCTCACATTCATAATCTCATATGCTTTATTTTCATAGCATTAGTATACTTGCCGTTAAGTTTCATTTGCTATATACCTTGATTATACCTTATCCAAATATGTGCCTATTATATTCTCGATGGTGCCTAGGTCCTCTTCCCGCTATTGGCACGCGTATCCTTGGCCTTTGCCAGCGCGCCAGCTGATCGAGATCCAAGCAAATCTCATTCGAGTCTTCTAATGCACCACAGTCGTGATACTGCCGCAAAGCAATGGGCCGAAACCATGGTGCTTATTCTGACTGGAGTCACCCATTGTTTTGTCTCAAAGCAAGCATTTTTACTCCGGCTATGTAAGCTTTAATAATATTTTCTTTGGTAGCATATTATCATTTGAGTATTGCTAGTTCTTTTTTTCGAGCCTACTTATTACTCTTTTTTTCTTATTTAAGTAGAGTTTAGAGACTACCAGTAAATCAGTAATATGAGATGTATTCACTCAATTTCGTTTAAGGTGATGAAAGACTGGTAGAAGAATTTTCCCACAATGATATGAGTAGAGCTGACGTCGATACAAGGTCGAAACTGCAGTCCACCCTGAATGAGAGCAACTTTTGGGAAAGCAAGGCAATGTGAAATTCAATGGAAAAGTCAGCTTGACTCATATCATTGTGGGAAAATTCTTCTACCAGTCTTTTATCACTTTAAACGAAATTGGGTAAATACATTTCATATTACTTATTACTCTGCAGCATTTACGAAAATTCTTTTAATAAATTCAATAAATCTTTTTACTCTAGTAAATCTAGCCTTGCTGTCTAATAATTTCATCTAGTACGTTATCAGAAATATATTTTAGGAATCAGCTGCACGCTTTGCTCTCTTACATATTAACTTGGATCTATTTACCACTCATTCTGGGTTAATCGCGGTCACAGGAAGGGGAGCCCAGAACTTTGGCACAATCAAATGTCCTCTATTCGAAGGAAATCCTCCTTCGGTTTCCATTTAAGCCAATTCACGAATCCCTTTCAACCAACTTTATCTTTAAAATGAAAAGCCAAGTAAAATTAATTTATTATAGGATCATTTAAGAGCCAGCCTTTTTTTATATACTAAGTATGTACAGTGATTAATCTTTTCGAAATTCGTTATCCTATACCCAGGTCAACAAATTGGTGGAAATTCGTTCTTTGGAAATTTTGTTCCTCACTTAGACATGCATTGTGAATGAGTATGAGAAAGAGGATATCTGGGTGAAGGATATGAAACCTAGGGAACTGAAGATGCCCAAGCATGGACATCGCCCATTCTAAATCCTCGAATATGGCGTAATTGTGGACGGGAATTGTAGGCTCATAAGCAGCTAGATTTTAGACAACCAAACTGATTTTAATGTGTGGCAGCAATTAATTGACAAGGGGGTGAAAGGAAGGGGGCTGAATGAAGGCCAGAAGCCCTGCAAACGGCATCTGAATTCGGTGGTGAGGATGATTCATACCATATATATCTTCAAAATATGAGGAGCAGCTTGTTTTTAAGTAATTTTTTAATAGTTTGATGCTTGAGTAACTCTGATTCCATTATAAATTAGCCTTACTGGAACCCCTTCGTTGATTGAATTTTTGTGAATACGTCCTAAGCGCATCGTCAATTATGAAGTATTTTTTATTTGCAGATAGTTACATTTATTATATGATACATAAAATAAAGTATAATAGCTTATAGAAGCCTTTTTCTCCTTATACTCGTCTTGGATAGCCATTATCCAGCCCATATTTACTAAATTTTCTTTGAAATTGATTTTTCTCTTTTTTGCTAGTTAATTATTGCATTTACTTCATTAATTTAATGAATATCTAAATGTTGATTGATCTGACCCAATATCTGTTTTTTAGATTATGAGCTTTTGGAAATTTTTAACGGTTTATTTTACATTATTTATCCTCTTATTCTCGTGTGAGAATGCTACCTCTTACTTACATTTTTCTGGGTTGATACACAGTTTCACCAATATTATTTAGAATTCTATATAGCTAGAATTAAACATTATTTTGTTCTTAAATGTTGGGCTTTTTTGGGAGTACAATCTAAATGATAACCTTCTTTCTATTTAATCGTTTTTGTTCTTTTTTCACACGTATTATCTCTACATTTATCGCCCAGCCGATTTTTATTCAATGTGGCACAAATTTCTGGACTGCATTGAGTCTTGCGCACTTTGTCCAAATTCTGAGATATCCATAAATGCCCTTCATTCTCTCCAATCTCTGCTGGATATCGGAGTCGAAGATGGGAACGTGCTTTCTCGTACAGCACTAGAAAATCAGAATCACTCGAAAAATTGTTTAGATGATCTTAATACAGGTTGGCTTCCTTTGATAAGTTTGAGGTTTACTTTGTGTTAACTGAAACTGCTACTTCGAATCCTCTTTTACAAGCTAAACAGGCCTTATTTTATGCTTATTTATTCTATTTTATTGATAATTAGCAAACGATCGAATTTGAAGTATAAAGCTGTCTGATATTTGCTTCTTCTATCAATTTGATAGTGGATGAAGAGTTTTTTTATCTAGAAAATTATGAATTTTAGAATTAAGATGTATTTTTATAAATGAAATGTTTAACTTTGTCAATATTTATTTTTAACTCCAATGCTAATCTGAATTTGAGTTTTTACACTTCCTTAAGGCTAATTACAACTTTACATTCTGCGTTAATTTTTTGAAACTGTATGTTGGTTCTTAGGTCATGTATTTATCATGACGTACTAATTTTACATTTCTTGATGTTAATTTCTTCTATTAAAACTAATGCCCACAAATGTCTTTGTTAGTTATTTCAGGTAGCATTTTGCTTCCTGATGGATTCTGTTTACCTACGTTAGGTTTCAATTAAATGCATAATTAACTTTAGTTGCAGTCTCGAATTGGCTAGAGCCAGATTTAAAAGGTGACTGCACTCGCTTGGGTAGAATGGGAGCATGCAGAGGTGCTTTACTAACTAATATGCCTAAAGTTTATTTTGATATGTTTTTCTTAACATAACACCGAATCACCGTTAGGGGGATATTTCAGATTACTTGCTTTTTTCAAAATTAAATAGCAATGCTCCTGTGTTTTTTAGATTTTTTTATTAGATAATTTATATTCAGCAATCATTCCATTCATAATCGCCCTCTCAATCTAGGCCAAATGAATGCTAGTGAGCTCTGGGAGCCTGTATGGCATAGTTGGTTGAATATCGGGACATTTGCCTTTACTACCCCGGTTCAGAATTGCAATTCACTTCACACGAGAGAGGATGAGCATCTTATAGCATGCACTTTGAAGGTCCCTCTGGTAGCTGACAATAGGATTTCTGATTCAACAGACTCTCAGATAATCAAGGACTCTGATGAAATCCAAGTAAGCGGCAAGATCATTTCTTCATTTATCGTAGGGGCCTGACCAAATCGCTTTTATTTGCATATAAACTTGTTTAAAAATATTTAAATTGTGTCGGTATTATTTCAGAGATTGTGTATTTAACGGAATAGGCTCAAGTACGAAAGGTTATCGCATTTCCGAAAGTTTTAAGTTTAACTTAAAATAAATTCATTTTTATAAGTTCCTTAATTTGTTTATTCATTTGTTCTTATGTTGACATAACGTTTTTCGTTTTTAGTTGAATACTTAGGTGATAAATATATTTTTAATAAGAGCCTCAGCCACTCTAGGTTGTTTAGTGTAATGAAAGACTGACATTAAATTTCCTCAAAATTATATGAGGTGTTCAAGTTTCCATTTCATTTAACTCAGCATTGCTTCATCCAGGTTGGAATGCATTTTCGTTCTCGTCCAGGTTCCATCAGTACCCCCCAGTGGGAATCAAAGCAGATAGTGCAACGTATAATCTTGAAAATTTACTACCACGCTACACGGATTAGATGCAAGTAACCATCGATTTCCTGACTGAAAGAAACCGAATGAACAGAAGACTTGAATAAGGCATGATTATCGAACAATTTGCATACTGCCTAAACAAACTCGGGGAAGATTAGGGAACAGCAATTAAAGGAGACCGCGATCATGCAAAAAGGCCACATTATCTTGGTCTTCATATCTTCGTTTAAGGAAGTTTGCCTCATCTAAAATCCCATTATACATATTATATTGGAGAGGCTTGGCTAACCTTGGCATTTACTTCTACACTGTGACTCAGGCTATCGTGGCAGTTTGGCATGGTGCTAACATGTCGAAATTATATGCTTCACTACCCGGGTTCAATTTATGCTGGGGATGTCGATGTGACCCAGGAGAGGTCGAAACTGCAATCAAAGCTAGAATAAAATAACTTTTGGGATGCAAGGCGATGCGAATTTTGGTGGGAGAATGTTTCCTACTCATGTCATTATGGGAAAATTTAACTTTTAGTCCTTCATTACCTCACACGATATAGAATGACTGTAACTCTTTTTCGCGATTTTCTGATAGCTTTAAAAATATTTTAGGCAAATATTGCAATTTAAATATAATTCATGCGCTAATGCCTATTCTAACCCATTTAACCTCATCCTTTATTGTCCACTTATAGCTTCATATTAATACTTGTTCAAATGCACATTTTATTTGCTTTCAAATTGCATATTTCATTTTCTTTTTGTTAATGTAAAAATCGTCGTATAATTTTGATTTTGGTTGTCTTCGTGCATGAACTTTGTTTATTCTTATTTTTAGCCCTTAAAATTCGACTTGATCGTCTCTCATTTATAAACTTCTCGCTTTAGATTGCCTGCTTTCCTGGTGTCTTTATGCCCAGTCCTAGCTACGTTGCTATCTACTTCAACATCTTCTCTCAGCTCTACCCTCGAATTGCCCGTCTTTCCCCGGAACAGCGCCTGGCCGACTTTGACCTCAAGCTAGTGAATGTTTTCCGATACGGCGTCCTCTCTCCCATTTATGTTGCCACTTTGCAGGCAACCAGCTTAGCCACCGCAGCCCAAACGACTATCAGTCAGACCGTTTCGTCTACCCGACCATCCCTGGTTTCCAACAATATTAGCGATTGTAACAATGACAATAGTAATGATGTTACTTGTGACG